CACGAGCACAGGTTTTGGCACTTGGCCGGGTTCGAATCGTGGTCAAGGTGAGTCTCGATCGGAGGGTCAGCGATGCTGATATTCAGTCGTAGTGGTCGAAGGTATTAAAGCTGGTTTGTTCTGAGAGACAGAATGGTTAGCTGCCTGAGTTTCTTGTGGCAGAGGAAGAACAGATGTAAAGGAAGAGGAAGGAAGAGAGGAGAGAGAGGCGTAGCTTGTTCTAGTCCTGGAGAAATTTGGAGCCTGCAGTGGTCATGGCTGTGATTGGATCTCAGTATGCTGCCATAACTGAAATCCGTGAGGTTGGGTTGTCTAGTACTGGAGAGTGAGTGAATTCTTAGAAATTAATGTGGTGGCAGGAAAAAGCGCAGGTGTAACAAAATGTGGCAGGGCCGGGACTTGAGAGACGAGGCTAGCATCTGTTTTTGTTTTCCCCTTTTGGGTTTAGCTTACCGCCAACCTTATGCTTATTTTTCCTGGCTCGCAGCCTTATGACGTAGTCTTGTTGCCGTTCCGCCTCGGTCTTGGTCTCTTTTTATATCCGTCCCCGGCTCCCATGTCAAGTTGGAATCAAACTCCCTTATTGTTTTCTGTCCATCCTTATTATGTACCAAAAGAACTCAGTCATTACATATCCAGTCCAATGCGTGGAGGAGGTCTATCATGATCATTCAGTGTCACTGCCCATGGGTTTCTTTGTAACCAATAATACTCGAGGGCATTCTAATAGCTTATCGTTTCTGCCCAACGCCTCGCCTCATCTCCAGTAGCCAATCCGAACCCTCCACATTGCAATGCAACGCATCCCTGGAAACACAGTAGACGCCAGACAGAATACCCCTAAAACTAAGCGACAAATCATTCATGCCGGTACAAATACAAATGAACTGAGATCAAACTTAGGCTTCTGTGCCGGTGAGCCCATCTCCGACTTTTCATCTTCGCTGTTTGGTATGATTGCGTCCTCACTACCGCGGCCCTCATGTCGCCAAACAGCTGTGAGAACACATTCATTCCTCCCTTCCGTAGTTGTATCATCCTGCTTGACCGCAGTCGAAGATGATGCTCCATAGGAACCTTGCTTGTTCAGCGACCTCATGGCTGACTGCTGGACCTCGATTGGTTGATATCCAAAGGTCTTTGGTAGATCCGCTTCCCGACGCGACTGGATCTCTTTGGCACTCGGAGGCTGGCTAGTTATAGCCACCTGGCTCTCTGATGGAAAACAAGGCGGCTGCTTCTTCGATTTCGCAGAGAACAGCGGCCTTGCGACAGTATTCCAGCCTTCTCGGGGTTGAAACGCAAAGGTCTTCATCAATGACTCATTTTGCTTCTGGATGTGGTATTCGAGTAAATCTTCAAAGGCGTCGGGGTCATCATCTTTGTTGATCTCCTTGATCTCCCTTCCAGCCGCAGTGCCGTCTCTCCGAACGGTGTCTGATCTCGAAGGCTGCTTTGGAGATGCAGCTGTAGGGGAAGACTGTGGTACGGACTCCTGTGATTCTAGGTCCGGAGATGAACAACGCACCTCCGGTTGCACCGAGACGGTCGCCGTGTCGCCTTTGGCTGGACTTGCCGCTTGCTGGACTTGAGGCTCAAGCAATTCTCCAACACAATGGTCGGAAAAGACATCGAATTTAGACTTGGCATTTCTCTTGTTCTTGCGAATCTTCGAGGCCAAGGGACTGGCGTCTTCGCCCTTGGCAGCGAAAAATGGACTTTGTTTCACATCTGGTGTTGTTGATGGGTCCATTGTGTCTGAGCACAGTCGTTGTCTCTTGACTGACTGAAAGGTTGACATTGTGGAAGCTCTAGCCAGGAAGGCTGTGCGGTCTGTTGTACTAGTAAGCGGTGCTGGTGTTGTGGCACTTTGCCTCAAAGCAGGAGCAGAAGAAACCAGTCTTGGTTCCCAAGACGCATTCCGGTTCCGTTGCAGTAGTCGCTGCTGTGACGGAGAAGGGGTTAGGCTGTTGGGATCTAACTCAGCAAGCGGTTGTCGGTGAGGCTTGAAAAATGTCTCGATCGATTTCTTCGGCTTCAGCTCGGGTGCGGATGCATAGCTCTGGCTCCTGCGCTCTCCAAGCGCGGGGCGAACGAAGGGTTTGCCGCTAAGCTTCAGAGGTTTCTTCGAGAACGGGTCGAGGTCTCCGCAGGCGACACCAAGTGCTGTGGTAGCCTCCACGTGAGGGCCCAGATATGGCATATCCGACTCACTCATTCCGGGATCAAGTTCGTTCAGAAACACCATTTTTTGTCCGACCGGACAGAAGACGCGGTGGTGTAGAAAGGTCAATTCTGCCTGGCGAAATTGCTCCAGGTAGCCGCTCGGCACAATCAGCTTCCCTTCCAATTGGACTATCCGAAGGATCTTCTCGATGTCGTTATACTTGCGAACTAGGCCGTGGGCGGTCTTTAAACCCAGTTTTCCAATGTTTGGCAAATAGTCGCAGCCGCTGAGGATCGCCATCCGTCGGAACATCGTGTCTGTCCAGCCTGCAAGCGAGATGTCTTTGCACATAGGGAAGTCCGACCGCTCAATCTCAAGCAACTCGCCGTATTGATTCAGCTTCGTCAATAACCGGTGGGCACCAAAAACTAGCATGTCCGAGTCCTCGGCCAGAATCCCATTAATGATACCCTTGTGTTCCAGATAGACCAACTGTGCATCGGCTTCGTATGGGGCAACGATATATGGGACATTGAGCTTCTTCAGTTCCTCGATCAATTGTCGAGCCATAAGAGGGGTGACATCGATGGCTTTCTGAAGTTCTTGCTGCGCTTGTGTGGTTTTCCCGGCCTTGTGCAAATCTAACCCCAATGCCCTGCTTTCCTCTCTTTTCTTGCGCCTTGCCGCATTTGTTGCCGCCTTGCTGGGCAGATTATCCCCGTCAAAGACCAGGTAAGGAGTGACACCGAAGTCGAGAAGCATCCGAACTCGGCTCAACACGAAGTCTATGTGGATAGTGGTCGGCTTGTCGAGAGCAAGGGCGAAAGCACAGCCCACCACACCTCGATGTAGCCAGCCATAGGCGTCAACCCCAATGGTTTGCCCAGAGAACTTTTTGAGGGTGCAATGCTTTTGGATGGACTTGAGCACAGGCAACAGGCCTAATATTGTTAGTATGGCATGCGACATGAGGTCAATTGACTTGCCTTTGATACCCATCTTTATGCGGACACCAGGCTCACCGCCTGTTTATGGGAGATACAGGTGACTCAAAGTGGGAAGGGGGAAGGATAAAGCTGCGGCCGTTGTAGGAAATGAGCAGCAATATAGGTGTAAATGAACAGCCCACAGCCATGGGTGTTTTGTTGACACTCGACCTTTGCTGTTGTACGAGTTACATTGCGTGCATACATTCAATCTGGTGAGGCAAGCGCCCACCCAACCACGCGCTGCGAGTTGGACCGACGCGTCTGGAGCCTTGCGAGCCTCACCGGCGCGGGCCGACGTTTTGCCGATCTCCCACTAATTTTTTCGCCAGTGGTCCCAGTGCACAAACTCATCCCATAGTGGAAGCCATCAATCTCACAAGGCTTGGAAAGAATTGTTTCTGTATCGTCATACTGCGCCCGACATGGCTCGCTCTCTCAATAAGGTCCAGAAGCAAATATCCAAAAAGCGAGGAGGAAAACTGAATGCCCTACATGAGAATAGTCGGGATGCAAAGCGTCTCCGACGAGCAGGTGCAAGGGAGGAGAAATTGGCTCGGCTGATGGATGCAGCAGTGAAGGCAAATCAAATATATGGTAGGGCTTTATACAACATTGAAATGCTTATGTGCTGAGTTGTGATCACCGCAGTCGACCGGGTGGCATGGTTCAAGTCAGCCCTGCAAGGATCCACAGGGGCCTTGACAGACGAAGAAATGCAACTACTTACGCAGAGGTATGTGGGTCATGTGAAGTCGAGGACAAGGGCTCATGGCAGGCACCAGCTTTATCGACCGCGAGGATGATGAACTGGCTGAAGCCAAGCAACAGCGTCGACCTGGAAGACCGCCTACGAAGCTGGAAGAGAAAATCACCCAGCGAAAAGAGGCTGAAGAGCGTGAGTTTCGTGCGGGGCTTTGGGTCCCCGAGCTTCGAAACGATGAAAGCCGCGAAAAGGTTGAGAGATGGGCCGGCGAATGGGGCGGGTTGAACACACTGGATTTCGTCCGTGTTGTGAAGTCGGGTGGCATCAAGCCATCAAGCTTCCCTCCCAAAGCCCTGTCGTGATATAAGGAACGTCCTCTATATGGTCATATCAACCAAGTCGTCCGAGGCTGTCCCCGTTTGAGGTGCCATCGAATCAGCCGTAGCAGCATTCGCCTCTTGTGCAATAAGCGCATAGACAACCACTCGCCACGAGCGCAAATCGATATACCTCTGCGAGAGTTCAGAATCCTCGAAACAGGAAGAATGCACACAGCAAAAACTCTCGGATCATGGCACTACCGCTCCGACACGAACGCGGAGGGTTTTGGTTTCGTTGGTGAACGACACTTCGATTTGTTGATGAGCGGAATAGCCGCGTCACCGAGAGAAGAAATTGTCCCTGAGACAAGAACATCCCTAGGAATTCGTGCCGGCAACGCGAGATGTCTGCTGGGCTGAATCTAAGGAATTTTGATCGGTTCGCAGAACACGACTGGCACGAAGGTTATCATGGAAACACCTTAGCCACCTCCAAACTGAATATAGTGGGTTAAGATTGATGTCCTTGGATACCATTCGCCTAGAGCGCAGACCAGCTGCTCTCGGTACTTATTGAGATGCTCTACAGTTGAAGTTTGAGACTCCAGGCATAGAAAGGTCGAAGTGTTGCCGTCTCCTTTCCCGTCACCTGACTCGTAAAATGGTCTATCATGTGATGACATGACTCGTGCCCAAAATTTATTGGAAACTTTCTCGAACTGCTTCATCTCTGCGCATTTCCATTTTCCTGGTCCAGATTTTCTCCCCCCTTTTACTTCCTCCTCAATTCTAGAACTCTCTTGCACCTTTCTGCTCTCAACATGTTGTCACTACGGTTACTCAGCCGGGCACTGCCCAAGAACGTCCTGCGCCAACCGGTAGTCCGGTCCGTGTCGTCCATAACGAGGTTCGCAACTCGTCGGCCACAATGGCAATCGGCTATGAAGCCATCATATCCCGCATTCTCAACTTCTGTTGCCCGCAGAGAGCCTGCAGGCCAATGTAAGTAGACACAACTATGGCTTAAAATCTGGCTAATGCAGGTCACAGCGGATGAGGCCCTCGTCGCAAAACTGAACAATGAACGCATGCTCGAGCTTCAATCACAGAGCGATGATAGACTGGCCGCGATCAATGAATTCCTCGAGAATAGCCCCTTCAAGGTCCAAGACAAACCTGGCTCGCACGAGATTGTCCTGACCCGAGACTTTGGCAACGAGAAGTGAGGATCTTGGTCAATACATTACATGATGATGCTAACAACCACAAGAATCAAGATCCAATTGAGCGTCTCTGACCTTTCCGAATACCCAGCCGAAGATGAATTCGATGCCCTCGATGAAGATGGTGCTCTTTCTGATGAACCCGACTTCGAGGTGCGAAAACGAGGCATCAATCAAACCGGTGGAAGAGGAGGAAAGGTCGATGTTATGCCAGAGGATAGCATTGCACCGGTTGACAGAGCCGAAGGAGGAGAAGAAGTCGACGACGTCGCTAATGTCACGCCTGCATACCCTGCTCATATGACCATTACAATCACTAAGCCCGGCAACAAGGCCATTGAGATTCGGGCTGTAGCTCAGGACGGCACCATCGAGATCGAAAACGTCTGCTTCTTCCCAAAGGACTCGCTGCTCGAGGCACAGAGCACCAAAGATGCTTCAGAAGCCCGCAGCCTGTATGCAGGTCCGCCTGTTGAGGATCTCGATCCCGAACTCCAGCAGATGCTCCACCAGTATCTGGAAGAGAGAGGGATTGACGAGGAACTGGCCAGCTTCCTTCCAGAGTACCTCGATTACAAGGAGCAGAAGGAATATGTCAAATGGCTCGAAGGTGAGTTGATAAAACCCGGGTAAATTTGCGGCGGTGCTAACCTCTGAATAGATCTCGAGAACTTTGTCAAAGAATGAAGCTCCCTACCCTGGCTGTGTTTTTATTATTGGGAATTGCTTCCTCCCCATTTCAGTAGATCCTCCACTTTGAGCAACATCTGTCATGTCCAAAAAAAAGGTGTACTATATGTTACAGGGACGACCCTGGACCAAACAATGAAATAATTCCGATACCCAGTTGACGTGTTGGTCAACAACATTGAATTTTTTATGGTTCAGCTTTAACCACGAGTACATTCGGTGGCGAGTACGCTGGATTTGTTTATCTTTGTGACATTTGCGAAAGTAATAGCTAATAGCCGGGAGTTGGGAGTTGGCGTAAGTCTCACTGAATAATGTCCCAATACTAATTGGTGAACCTCACTTCGTGGGTTGTGGCGCGTTCCGCGGCTCACGCTTGAGCAAATGTTTGGTCTGAATGGGTCGACACAGATGGTTACCGAGAACTTGCACAAGAAGTTCCCTGAATGGACAAGACCAATTACTCGTACACGTCAGCTTTGGCTGCTTAGTTTGCAACCATCTCTAACTCTCTCTGTTTACCCGCACCTCGAAACATGCCACACAACCGGCAGATGCCTTGTTGCGCTTCTCGTATCCGGCCTTCGTATTCCTGGACATTCTCCGTATTGTACATCGTATTGCGACTCCACCGACAATCACCTGTCTCGATTTCTCCTACCCCTCACGCTTCGGACGGGTGCTGACACCTCCCAGCCAGCTTGGCTTGATTCCTTGCCGAAATCCTCGTTCAGTCGGTGCAATTGATGAGCCCGAGGCTATCGACCCTCCAATAACGACCAAATGCCCCCAAAATGAGTCTGAACAACGCGGGGGCCTGGAACCATTCATGGACGCCTGATGCTCAATGTGGCTGGGGGCTTCAGAAACCCCGGGGCAAATCTAGCTGTTACATCATCCTTACAGGCTCAAATATGTTCGATTCTGGGCGTTGCCCGCCTAATCAGACTCCTCCCCCGAGTTCCCATCCATGGAAATGGGGTGGGTGGAGAAAGATGCACACATCTGATAGGAACAATGCCAGACCAGAAGTACACATTAGGGAGATCCCTGTCAATCAGAACTGTACGAGAGGTCACGATGTATACGGTGACCTAGGCTCAAGGTTTCAAGTATCACGGACCTACATCCCCTTCCAGTACTACTACGCGAAACTGCATTGTCCATCAGACCTTTAAATCCCTGACATCTCGACGTTGTAGTTTCCCTCAACTATCACTCGAGCAACTTGCTTGCAACCAAGCGCTCCCTCTTTTATCGCCTCGTCTTGGGATCAGCCCAGCATGAACCACTACCTGAACTTGGGCCTCGGCTTCATCGGGGTGTCGATCGTCTACTTCTTGTTGGCTTCTTTCCTTGCAAAGCGCTACCATGCTAGAAAAGCCAAAGAGCTTGGATGTCAACCAGCGTGGGAGCGCCCTTATCGGTGGCCGTTGGGCATTGACTTGGTCTGGGAGATTGTTCAGGCAGACAAGAACAACATTGTTCCCAGTTACTTCCTCGACGTCTACAACAACAGGACTGGCAAAAAATCAACATGGCAACAAAATATGCTGGGAACCATGGGCTACGTGACATCGGATCCCAAAAATATCCAGGCAATACTCGCTACTCAATTCAATGAATTTGAGCTTGGAGAAGTGCGACGGGGCAATTTCTTCCCCATGTTGGGTAATGGTATCTTTACCACTGACGGCAAAGCATGGTGAGTAGACACTCCTCCTCAAGGCTATGTGTTGCAAACCCTTGTTGATACAATCAAAGGGAGCATTCTCGGACTCTTCTCCGCCCTCAGTTTGCTCGCCAACAGGTCGCCGACTTGCAACTGGAAGAAATCCACGTCCAAGACATGTTTAGGCATCTGACCACCACGAACGGGTGGACTGCTCAAGTCGACTTGGTCCCGCTTTTCTTCCGTCTGACGCTCGACTCTGCCACCGAGTTTCTGTTTGGCCAAAGTGTGGACTCACAAATCACCGCTTTGCCTGGCTACACGCAAAAGGCCCGGAAACCTGGTGAACTGGACTGGACGGCATTTGCTTCCTGCTTTGATGGCGGCACCAATGCTCTCGGCGTCCGCGGTAGATTGGCAGAGCTGTATTGGCTATACAGCCCTAAGCACTTTTATGACAATTGCAAGGAAGTCCACAGATTTGCCGACTACTACGTCAATCTTGCATTAACCACCGACCTGTCGTCGTTGAGTGAGCACCACCTGGAAAAAGGCCAAAAGAAGGAGAAGTATATTTTCTTGAAGGAACTTGTGCAACAAACACGGGACCCTATCGAGCTTCGGAGCCAGTTGCTAAACATTCTTTTGGCCGGTCGCGACACAACAGCGGGTCTGCTTGGCTTCACGTTCTACTCGTTAGTCAGACATCCTGACGCCTTCAAGAAATTACGTGAGATCATATTAGAGGATTTCGGCACCTACGAAGATCCCAAGTTGATTACCTTCGAAACACTCAAGGCTTGCTCGTATCTACAAAACGTCCTGTCCGAAACACTTCGACTCTATGCCACTGTGCCCTTCAATAGTCGCCGGTCAAATCGGGACACAACCCTCCCTCGCGGCGGAGGTCCGGACGGTAATTCGCCAATCTATGTGCGAAAGGGGACAGAAGTGAACTACTCGGTTCACATTATGCATCATCGGGAAGATATCTGGGGACCTGATGTGGAAGAATTCAAGCCCGAGAGATGGGTTGGACGGCGGCCGGGCTGGGAATTCCTGCCGTTCAACGGCGGCCCTCGAATTTGTCTTGGACAACAATTTGCGCTGACGGAAGCCGGCTACGTTATTGTCCGCATGCTGCAGAAGTTTGACGTTATCGAGACTTACGAGACTGATCCAATCACGCGCTTTTCCTACGGACTCACCACTGCACCCTTGCGCCTTCCCGTCCGTTTCCATGAAGCATCAGCGAATTGAAGAGGATTTGAAGGGCATCATACTGTCATAATGGCTTGGAATGCGGTTGCCTTCCACGAGGCAGTGTATCGGTCAACATCTGAAACAAAATTTTATTGCAGTTCTCGCCTCTCGCTCGCACCCTCTGTGCAATACCTCATCAAGTATCCTTCAGTGTCCAGATCCAGAGACCGTATTCATCCTCTATCTTTCGATCTATTCAAACCTTCATCCACACTACGCTGTCATGACCTGGATTTCAGGCGCGCTTCTTCTCATTGCTTTCAATATATTGTACCCAACCGCACCTGTCTATTCTCTGCCTGTTCGCCCGCTGACTCGCGATGAGAGCTTCTGCCTCCTTCGAATCGCGGTTAGTGGAGCCTCCAACATGGTGACAGGTGTACCATCAACTCTCTTACTCGGAACTGAACGAGGCCGTCGCTGTGCTCTAAACGGCGAAACGCCCTGTGAAGCAGGCATCTTGACCACTACACCCGAAAGGTCACATCAACCCAAGCTCCCAGGTGGTGGTATAGTGCTTTCTCCTCGAGACTCTATTCCGTCGGGCTGGGACAAAGGGGCCTTTAGTATGAGGTACATCGCAATGGCATCAGCATGTGGTTCTTTCTTAGTCGGAATCCTTCGCATGTTGTACAATGAGCGCAAGGAAACGGCTTGGTGGTCTCTGAGACATCGAAAAGAAACGGCACACGCTCCAGAAGAACTGTTACAGTAGCACGAGAACGAACAACACAGATCAGGTCAACTAAGTTAGAAGGATGTTTCCAAACTTCCCAGCATCTGGACATGGAAGCACTGGACCATCTACCGCCACTTAGTCGACACTACCAAGCTCCGCATTGTCACCTTCAAATTTGCCACACGGAGTGATCCCTGTGGAAGCCGACATCAACGGTGATAAAGGAACCGCCCACAAGACACAGGACGACTCCCTCATACAGGTGGAGTGGGCAAGAAGGTGCAGGTATAGAATGAGTGGTGCATTGCTGGTAGTCGATTCTATGGGTTCCTGGGATCGTGTATGAAAACAGTCAAGTTGCCCTTCCCTGTGAAGGCCAGGGTAAATTGACGTGTCCAATTCTCTTGATACCCCTTGGTCTGTGGCCAGTAGCAGGTGAGCTATCGCTCTCGCCACCTATCATGCTCCTGATTGTCTATTGGTCGATACTCAGCACTAGCCGTGGGCACACAAGATAAGCCAGCACGTGCTAAGCGATGACGTTCGAGGAACCCATCGACTTGTGACGTCGCTATGGGATGGAGAGCAAACCACAGAACACAAAGCTGACCTACCACTCCTAACCACGGACATTGTAGTATTGCTTGCGTGGGATCATCGATCGATAGTCCTCTACCTCGTAGATGGATAGCCACCTCGCTTTGTCGATAGGTGGATGGATAGAGGTGCCCGCTCGAGCCACGCCAATCCAAATGAATTATCACACTAGGTACAAAATACGTACCCATTACGTTCGATGGTCTGAAGGGGGCCAGAAGCAGGTTTTTTGTGAGTGGTTAAGAGTCTGGACCCAGACACACTTGCAGAAGAACAGGTCTCATATTCCCATATTTCTTTCACCGTGGCTCCCCAGTCTTAAGCTTGTGCAACAACATACGTACCTCGTACATTCCACCAAACAACACTCCCCCCTCCAAAACAGTGTCCTCTGGCGGCAACACACCAGCGCACCCCAGCATGTCCTACTCCTACCCGACGGTGCTCCTCCTCTCGGTGATGGGCGTCTTCACATTCCTCGCCGTCGTGGCCGCGACCGTCTACTTTGCGGGCTACGCCGACGACGTCGCCGAGTGGTGGGCCAAGCGGTATTACAAAGCCAAGGCCGTCGCCGAGGTCAAGCTGATGGAGAACGTGGGCGAGGACAAGGTCCAGGGGTTGGTCAAAGGTTAGTTTTGTAGCTACTCTGTCCTAAGAATCTTTACCAGTTCTCAAGTGGAAGGGGGTGTTCTTGTCGGTAACTAGCTAATGTGGCTGTGTACCCGACGAAATAGACTCGCTGAAGAAGAACCCCGTCATGGGCAAAGACGAACTCGACCAGGTCTCGGGCGGTCTGGGTCAGGAGGCCGTCAACGAGGGTCTCGGCGGTGTCAGTGGTAAGCTGGGCGGGTTGGGGAAATTGTGAGGAGCCATATCGGACGCTCTCCCGATCGATGCCCTCTACCTTCTCGGGGATCAGTAGACGGGCTCAGCTGGTCGGGTACGGTTGTGGAACCAGAGCAGGTTGGTATCTTGCATTGCGCAACAGGTGCTCAAATAAAGACTTGCCGAGAAGCGTGGGCGCGGTGTGATGGACATGGGTGGTGTCGTCGGTAAGTGTCCTCACTTTGTTTGAATGAGAACCTAAGTAGTGTAGATAGATAGCAATAGAGGAAGTCAAAAGCAGATGGGGTTTGAAGATCACGTGATATAAAAGCACGTGAGTAACACCACGTGACCAGCGGCTGGGACATCCCCAGCCTCTTATTCGTCTCGTATATAAATCTCGCCTCAGCACTGGGGTTAATCGACCAACCTTTCACTCCGACAATGGCGGGGGAACGCACTATATGTGATAGCGCCGCTCGCAGCTTGGCATATTCTGCCATGGGGGCTTTTGGGTGTCAAAAGCGCTGTTTAGCTCAGGGCCCCCCTGCTCTCTGACAATACGGCACCAGTGAATGGCGGTTTAGTCAAACCGAGTTCTCAATGCCGTCAAGGTCGGAATCCCGGAACGGTCTGGACGTGGACATCGGCCTAGTAGCCTGTACAGCATCTCCGACGCGGATATTTCTTACCAATTCGTGGCTGTACAATTCTTTCAAATGACCGGATATGCTGGTGAATTCCGAGGTAGGCCACTGCACGTTGAGGCAATGGTAAGTCCATGTCTTGTTGTTCAGAGCAATCTTGACTGTATGGAATCCCGACCCAAACCTGTTCAAAAGCTGCTCCTACTTCTACAACAAGCTGCATTTCATTGTGCTGCAGCAACACAAGGTTGAGTGAAACATTTCCTGCTGGCATCGCCGCCTCGAGTTTCCAGTCAGAATGAATCTATCGTTCATTTGGGCCACGGCCAGTCTTTCCGTACGTCTCTCACCTGCTTCCAGTGAGAAAGGTTGAAATTCAGAGCTAAATCTTGCAGCTCATCATCGCCGTGATCGGGAGACTGATCTATAATGCCTTCTTTCATCCACTCAGTGCATATCCCGGACCTAAGCTCTGGGCAGCCTCAAGACTGCCATGGTTCTGGTCAACGACACACGGGAGGATTTATAAAGATCTAACAAGTCTTCACATGAAATACGGTCCCGTGGTGAGAATTGCGCCGAAAGAATTGTCATATGCGTCAGGCGAGGCATGGAAGTCAATGTAAGATCAATCCCGTTATTTCATCCATCATACTCCTTGCTCAAGACACTGACGTCCGTGAATCGATACGGCCATCGGTCTGTTGAGATGCCCAAGGATCTCCGTGGTGCTGGCCTGCTCCCTACCTTTGCCGAAGGTGATTCCCTCACTCATGCAAATCGGGAGTCATATCAACGCATGAGGCGAGCCATATCGCACGCCTTCTCCGAAAAGGCCCTTCGCGAACAAGAAGAAATTATTCAGTCCTATGTCGATCTCTTGATGAGCAAACTGGATGACATCTGCCAAAGAGAACCGCAAGACCTTGTCAAGTGGTTCAACTGGACGACATTTGACATCATGGGCGATCTTGCGTTCGATGAACCGTTTCATGACCTCGCAGCCGGTGGATACCATGAATGGGTGACGCTCATCTTCAACGGGGTCAAGGTCTACCCATGGTGGCAAGCCGTGGTCTACTACAAGCTGCTTAGGCTCAGTCGGTGGTTAGTTCCACAAAAGGATGCCCAGGCGAAAAAAGACGCAGATGCGTTGGCTTATCAGAAGGTTGAGCAGCGGGTTGCTCGCACGAATATTGACCGGAAGGATTTTCTGTGGTATATCCTCCGCCACAACGACCCCAAACTCGGCTTGACCATGCCCGGGATACAAGAAAATGCCGTGGTTGGGATCATTGCAGGAAGCGAGACTACTGCAACGTTTTTGTCAGGTCTCGTGTATCTCCTCCTCCGTAACCCAAAGGTTTACAAACGTCTGGAGGATGAAGTGCGGATGAGCTACAAATCTTACGATGATATCACCATGATCAAGTCGCAAAGTCTCGTCTATCATGACGCCGTGATCCACGAGGTTTTTCGGATCTATCCCCCTGCACCTGCAACTATGCCTCGTATTGTTCCTGGTAAGGGCGAGAACATCCTAGGACAGTGGGTACCCGGAGACACGACCGTTGGCGTAGCACCCTACGCTACCAGCCATGATCCCAGGAATTTCTTCCGCCCAGAAGACTTCCTGCCTGAACGCTGGCTGTGTGCGGACAAGCATGCGGATGGTGATGTTGCGGCTGATAAGTTCAGTGGAGACGACAGAGCAGCAACGCAACCCTTCTCCTTTGGGCCGCGGAATTGCATCGGAATGAAGTAAGTGCTCCCACAACTTCGATGACAGTTGTCGATCGTGGATTTACGATTGACTCGGGCTTCTAGTATGGCTTACTCCGAAATACGCCTGATTGTATGCAAACTTCTGTGGAGGTTTGATCTCAAACTTGCAGCTTGCCATCAAGGAGGCAACTGGCTTGACCAGGAGATGTACACTCTCTGGGAGAAGCCTTCTCTCATGGTAGAACTAGTTCCTGCATGTGGGAGTGAGTGAACGATCGTGGATGGTCACGAATTGGGTCACCACTCAAGTCTGCCTGGACCCACCAGATGATGTTATCCACATCATTGTGGTTTGTCCTACTACACCTCGTATAGTCCAAATGATATATGCTGTGGTCACATGACCAAGTGGGCGCAACATTCCCTATTGGGATAGGCTGCCCACCTACAGCACCCTAGCAAAAGTATCCGTCCACCCCCCAATTTACACCAAAAGTGTTAGGACTCCCACCTAACCTATTCAGACAGGCCGGGCAAACCAAGTAAACAGGCCAAGCGTAGGCTAGACGCCTACGCCTCGGATAAGTAGCGGTCAGTATGCCGTTCCTTTACTTAAAGCCCTCAAGGCTTTGAGTCTCTGTATATAGGGCCTATAGCTATCTATTCCAGGTGTTATCTCTTCTATTGATCCAGTCCCCCTTGCTAGGGGCTCTTACAATATATCGATATATTAATTCTTTCCTCTTTTAGTAGTTACGTACCGTACGTAATCTAGCCTTACTTCTATCTCCTATCTAGCTAGGCTACCGCGGTCGGTAGACATTCCCTAGGCATTCCGCTGTTAGAGCTACTTCCTGTATAACCTAACGTAGTTAGGTTTCTTCAGTTACAGTTCCTTTATTACATAAGCTAGGTCGAGAGTACGTAAGGTATAAATAGTTAAGTGACTTTAGAATAGTCTATAAAGTAGATATTATAAGTTAGCTACGAGAGAGTATAACTATAAAAGGGGAATAAGCGTAGCTATATACTTATAAGGTATATCCCGAATAAGTAACTAGGGATAGTATATTAATATATTAATATAGTAGTAAGATGGCCCAGATTCTTAGAGTGGCCATTACCTCTTTCGTCGGTGCGGCTCGCCCGTTAGCTCACCCTAATCACACCCGTTTTACACCCCCTACTCACCTTCGCCTCTCCTCCACTTACCCCGACTCACCCCGACTCACCTTAGCCCACCCTTTAACTCACCTTTAACTCACCCTCGACCAGCCTCTTAAGCTAAGGGCCCCGTTAGAAAGCGTACGACGAATTAACCCGGCGCTACATCCTACGGAGGACGCGATCAAACTAGAGAAGGGATATTCCGTAGATGGGGAGAGTAAGGCCGCGTATAATATACTCAGGGTGACGTTACCTTACAGTAGCGACTATGGAGGTCCGCCCTACTAATTTAGTCTAGTATTATCCCTCTAGTTATTTTCGAAAAAGAAGGAAAAGGGATAGATAACCCCTTCGCTTAGGCCCGTTCTCTATTTCCTAGTCGGGATGAACTACCTTTCTCTTTATACGTCCTTTAACTACTATCTAAAGTTATTAGATAGGCCGCGACGATAACTACCGTTAAGACTATCAGCGACCTAGAACGGAAGAGGTTACGGGAAGTTAATAGCTTTCGTAAAGCTATTTAGAAGACCGACGATTCTCTTACCTTAAAGCTAGTTATACCTAGCATTAGCGTAGCTTATAGAGCCGCTTTACATAAATAGGACCGGTACGTCCCTTTCGGACGAGTCTTAAAGAAAGTGCGCTAATTTTAGGGTAGGTTCGTAGAAGAGTATATTACACTCTTCCCTAGGTATATACCTACTCCCTTCCAGCCGAAGACGGTAAAAGATTTCCTCCTCTTTTATAGAAACGGAAGGAAAGGTCGCATTAATAAGTAACGTAAAATTACGGATTCGACGGTAGAGACGTTCTAGAAAAATTTTATAACCGCCTAGTAGAGGAAAACGGGGGAGTACTTTCCTAAACCGCTACGTAATACTATACTAAATATACGGCCTCCGCCCTCTAGCCACTAAGAAACTGATCCTTACGCCTACTATAGCTAATTAACGGAGGAGATAATAACATCCTCGATCTCTCGAAAGAGCGGAGACTAGTTAAGAACTATACCCTCCCTAACTTCGAGGCGGTATCCCGTTAACTATAGTAGAATAATTAGTATTGTTCGGAGGACTCGGAGGATTACCTAGATAGGTAATAGATAGGCTCATTATAGGATCGAACCGATAGGTATTAACTATTCGACTATAGAAGACTTAGTGAAACTTGACTATCTAAGAGAGGGGAGAGGAGTGTCCTTATATAGGTAACGAGTGGCGATAGTTAGAAGATAAAAGAAAACCATCGAATCGCTATTAGTAAGCGATGATGTAAGTGGTAACGCTACCTAGTTATCTTACCTGGCTAAGCCACCTAGCTACGTAATCAGGTCACGTACTAAGCCTAGCTAGGTAAGAGGCCTAGATAGCGATATTCCACAAGTATAACTACTACTACGAACTATACCGGTCGGGATTATACTTTCTATAACTACTATACTATAGTACGTCTAGGCGGGCCGGCGAATTCGAAAAGAATCTTCGTTTCCGGGTAGGCGACTGACCCCTTCGTTAGTATATTAACGAAATAAGTTAACTATAGTATTTAGGATATTACGGTCGCTTAGGTCTAGATAACGATATAGTTATAGATCGTACTTAATCTACGGCGAGATAAGGTAAAGAGCCTTTAAGATTTACCTCGAGAATAGTACGTAGCTACTATATAGGGGGACGGGGAGGGCTCTTAACGTTAACGGTTCTAGGCCTAAATATTTACTCTACGAATTAGTTAACTAACTATTCTACTATAACGGCGTACTATTCTTTATAGCGCGCGCTCTCTCTATTAGCGCGCTACGATACTATAAAATATAGGCCGATATTTACTCTATAAGTAAGCCCCGGGGGCGGGATTATTATCTTCTCGACTACGAAGACTACTATCTAGATATACTAATTTTCCCCCGTTATTACGCGGATAGGTCGGTCGACGATAGGCTAACTTCTTCCTCTCTCGCTAGCTACGGTCTCGCGGATCTCGGCTATCGGATAGACTTCCGGGAGAGCCTTACTTTCTACGCTTCCCGTTAAGAGGCCCTATTAAAGGTAGATAGTAAGTATAATCATTATATTTATCGCGTAGAAGCCTTAGAACTAATAGACTAGATTACGGATATTCTATTAACGAACGTATATAGTTTAGCGCTTATCGGAATTAGGGTACCTACTCTACGGCTTACTAACCTCGCATTAGTACGGTCGATAGCTAAGCGACATTTTTCGAGCTTAATCGCTAGAATATACGGATCTACGAGCTTTTTCGCGGGTATTCGTTACGTCGAAACTATAATTACCGGCCGACGCTACCGGAACATTAAAGACGGTAGCTAGAAGAGTTAGCGTCGGCTGCGGCTAACTAGAAGGCGGCTTCGTTAATCGACGGATAGGATATAAAGGAGCGATAGAAGCTCTATAATTAGAGACGTCGGGCGTGAGATCGGGCCGTCTAGGAGTACTAAACTATCAGAGCTACTTCCTATATAGCCTAACGAAGTTAGGCTTCCTTAGTTATAGTTCCTTTATTATATAAGCTAGGTCGAGAGTACGTAAGGTATAAATAGTCGAGTAACTTTAGAATAGTATAGTAAAGTAGATATTATAAGTTAGCTACGAGAGAGTATAACTATAAAAAGGGGAATAAGCGTAGTTATATACTTATAAGGTATATCTTAAATAGGTAACTAGGAATAGTATATTAATATATTAATATAGGCTATACTAATATATCGTTATATCGTCTTTTTCCTTTTTCGGTAGTTACGTACGGTACGTAACCTAGCCTTATATCGTTAGGCTATCATCTAGTAGACCTACCTCCGGGCGCCCCGCGCTCTAGGTCATATAAAGGCTGTTTCTAACATCCTCCTCGATTATAATTTAGGCGAGTTAGGTAAACCTCCCTAATGCGGACGCCCTTGATACGGCCTTACTTAGATGAACGGATAACAAGGGCGTATCCACTTACGCTAGCCCATTTCTGGCAATAGTGTACACAGGCTTAGCGGGTTTGGAAGGCTTGATTAGTTAGGGCTGAGGTGTCCATCGCTGATTGGTTGAAATAAGTAATAAGGTGGGTCTGGGCTGAAGCTTTACTGTGATTGGTTGAATCTGTTGCTATTAGTGACTTGAGAAATCTATGGCTGGGGGCGCCAAGAGGTGGCTGGGAGAGGGGCTGAGGCCGTTAGTGCTGTTAGTGGGCTAGATCTTGCCGATTGGGTATAGTCTGCCAGTGTTGTTGGTAAAATCCGCCATGTGCCGCTAGCCAATCTCGTTTCTGAGGCATCCAAGCTCAGGGTGTCACCTCGGCGCTAGACAAGTGTCACATAGGTACAAATACGAAAGGACTGTAGAAAACCAGGATGCGGCCGACATAGTGATGGGATTGCAGAACCCATGATCATTATTCGGCATCCTTAACCGCGGAGATGTACGTAACCATTGTAGATCCAGGAACATGAATTCCGTGGATTTGTTTGATGAACTGAACTCCACCTCTGGGGTCCCCAGAAACATCCAAATACTCGACAAGGCCATGGGGCAACGCAGGCTTCGCAGGCTTCTCGATTTCTGGCGTTTCGAATTTATTGCTCCTAACGATTTGATCTCCTCGTCGTCGCTTGTGACGTCTAAATTTTCGCGACACTATGTTTCGAGATCTTCGAGGGCCAGCCCTTCCATGGGCCATTACCCTTTCTTCTGCGAGTTGTTATCTGCTCTTCGGTTATGACCAGGTATGTTTTGTCCAACTCTTTATATATGGACGGAAAGCAGACTGACAAGGACCACAAATCAGGGCGTGATCGGAGGTCTCCTCGGCATCGAGAGCTTTCTCAGTGCTATCGGCTATCCTAATTCAAGCTATCTTGGAACCATTGCCGCTCTTTACGACATTGGCTGTCTTGTGGGCTGTCTAGTTGCGGCAATCTGGGGCAATAAGATGGGAAGACGCAGTACCATCTTCTGGGGTTGCAGCATCATGGTCGTAGGAGCCATCATTCAAACGACGACCTACAGTGCTGGTCAGCTCATTGCAGGCAGACTCATCTCTGGTGTTGGAAATGGTAGGCTTGATAAAATCCAATTTACATGCGCAAGAAGTTTTGGGGAGCATGAGACTAAATCTCACAAGGCATGAATACGTCGACAATTCCCGTCTACGTCTCTGAAACCACGCGCAGTCATCGCCGTGGCCGGATGGTCGCTACTCAACTTTCCATTGTCATTGTAAGACTCCTCTTTTCCCAACGACATTTCTAGTCCAGCTAACACAGTCGTGACCAGTTCGGCATCGTTATTGCATATTGGATTGACTATGGAACCACCAAGAACCTCACGGGAGAGGTAGGCAACATTGAGAACCCGCATATCAACATCTCCTGACTGTTGGATTTCTAGGTTGTTTGGCGTTTCCCCATCGCCTTTCAAATACTTTTTGCGTTGATCACAATGGCAACGATTCCGTTCCTGCCTGAAACGCCACGGTACACCCGTCCTAGTCAATGTCTTTGCCGTTGATGCTTACTGATGCAGATGGCTATATTCCCACGGCCAAAAAGCGGAAGCAGTCACCGTCCTATCACGTCTAATGAATTGTACAGAGAGTGACCAGGACGTTCTTTTTATCAAGAACGAAATGGAAGAAGCCTTGAAACTGGAAGAAAGTCAACCCCCCATGACTCTGAAGGGTCTACTTAACGATAAGAGCGACATCAAACCGATGCGCCGACTTGTTTTATGCTTCATGGTGCAAATGTTGCAGCAATTTACCGGCATTAATGTTGTCGCCATCCTCATAACGATTGTGTTGGAAAACAATCTTGGCTACAGTACCAGCAAGGCCAGTTTGGTGGCAGGTTTTATTCAAGTGGCATTTTGGGTCGGCACGCTTCCCCCTATCGTGTACGTCTCTTTCCCATCTCTGCTCCGTCCCTTGCTAACAGTACTGTTTATAGTTATATTGACAAAGTCGGACGTCGACCGGTTCTTTTGGCCGGATCTGTGGTCCTTCTTCTGACTTTGGTGCTGTTCACCGTCGGAATTGCAGTCGACACTTCGGCATCAAACAACCTCGCTTTGGCCATGCTGATCATCTACCAAATTGCCTTTGGAATGTCTTGGAATGCAATTCCATGGATTTACGCTCCAGAAATTACGCCCTTGAATCTGAGGCATGTGGGAGCTGCCATCGGTCCATTTTCGGAATGGCTGTGGACTTTTGTAAGTGTTGATACCTACACCTTTTATAAGGTTAGTGCTAATATTCGCAAAAGGTCATTGTTCAGATGGGTCCAACCGCCATTGCACACACTCAATGGCGGATTTGGCTTCTTTTTATTCTGATGACTGCGCTGAGTATTCCGGCTGTTTACTTTTACTTTCCCGAGGTAAGATAAGAGAACTACTGACTGGTGGTGATTGTTTCGCTGATGAAGATGATCAACAGACCAGTATGAAGACTCTGGAAGAACTTGATTATATCTTTGCAGAAGGAGATGCTCGTCAACGACTTCATGATCAATTTGAAGCGGCTGGTCGTCGAGCTTCAACGGCTTCTAAAGGAGTGCCAGAGGAAATCAAAGTAATTGGTGAAGAAAAGGCACAGTACATCGATGGTACTGTGACATAGATCGTATTATCTATCCCTGACTCATCGACATGAAGCCCACCACTACCGACGAGCCTTGGATTAGCAGCGAGGTGCCCCGGTCGGGCCCTGCTGGCTCTTGGAGACGGTCAAATCATCCGTAAGCTATATCCTGGTCATGTGCGCTGAGAGATTCATGACAGAAAGATTTTGAAGTACTTGCATTTCACTCCCGTTCAAAGACTTTCTTCCCCATTGCTCTAAGCTCCCATGCTCGAAGGTGGCATCTTGCGGTTATTCTGAATATGCTGGGAAGGAAGCAAACCCCAATGAAACTCTTCCCGCAAAGGCAGAGAAAGAGAGCCGAATGAGATACCGAGATTCTTGGTGGAGGCTAAGCTTCAGAAGCTTATATCGGAAGAGCAATAAGCTATAAGAGATGACTGGGTCTTTGGCACGAGTATGTGGCCAGCTCCGCGGTAGGCGATCCCAGCAGTGTGGCATGATAGATTCGGGCGAGAGGGCTATGGGAGCATACAAAATATACTCTCCGATTCCTGTGACATAGATACTTAACGTAACTTCTCTCTCAAAAGAACCGAAGCTGCCGTCATATATCACACACCTTGTTATTAGGCACCACGACCTAACTCTACGGCAGACTGAAATCCCGTACGAAAACAGCACTGGCTTTTCCACCTCCTTAGTCGGTGAGACATCTTCAAGATGCATAGACTTCACTACACGTTGATATACAGGCTTTATTCAGCGAATATCAGAATCCAAATCCCTTCGACTAACGTTCACCGATGCGACACCCTTCATCCTCCATAGCGCTTACTCTGTTTAAGCTCATACTTGAAACACATCCCGGAGCACTAAAGGTTCATCTTATGTTGAGGCAGTCCTTTACAAGATGTATCTGAAGTTTCTGTTCTCCTTATCGGTGAGATCTATGAACTCGAAGTCGTCCGGCAAAACGGTAGGCTCTTCGCGGTCGCGCTTCTTGTTCTCATGCCAATAGGCCCAATTAAGGGCAACGGTAGCAAGAATTCCAACGCTCAGAATTATGACGATGGTCAACTTAGCAGGAATGTAGTCTAGCGCGTCGGCATCGCGGAAAGTCTTTGGTCCAATAATGTGGCCAATGTAGAAGGATATGAGTACAAGCGCGCTTATGGTCACCTTTTTGGTGTGGCCCGCAACTGGTGAGAGAAAGTTGTCAGGTTAAGTAGATAACGGTCATTGGACAACTTACAGTTTGCGGTGGTCCAGCTGTAGAGCAAGGACACACCTGCTCATGGTGTCAGCGAGAGGGATCTAGAGTGATCAGAGAAGCTGTTCTCAAATGTACGTACCGCATCCAGCTGTTCCGGTTATATAGTTGACAATGAGAAGCCCTGCCTTGGCAATGGCAGGAAGCTAGGCCATCAGAGCGCCTCCAATAAGCGTGGGGATGATCAATATGATGATGATAACGCCTCTGGTATTGAAACGACCTGCCCACCAGGTTCCGAGAGCCACCGCGAGAAAGCTAACCCCCGTGCTCGGCAGATTGAGAAGAAGATTCGTATAGGTATCGAATCCGAAGCTGGCTCGCTATATTAGCCTGAAGACCTATCTTTCGAAGAGACCATCATCGTACCTCTTGATGATGATGCTCGAGATTGAACGATCGGGCTTGACCTGCTGGAGGCCAGGTTTGTCGTGGCCCTTTCGAGCTCCGCTTATGTCTCGCTCTACAACACCCGCGGCCATATCGACTGGCAATGAATGATACGTAGGATGAGCCTACTATCTATAGCCTACGCAGGAAGCTGGGAACTGAAGGAGCGGGGTCGCAGGAGGCTGGGTCTTTAAAGTTATGGGAGAACTAACGATCTACCTTAGCCGCCGGGGAGGCCGTAACCTACTAGTAGGTTAGGGGTAGTTATGGCTTAGCGGGATTAAAACAGCCAATCATTTGGTCGCAGCACTTGATTTCCTCTGCAACGGACAACGCAACAATTCTTGCAAGGGATTGTCTATGACACGTTATTAGTTCTATAGGGTCTGCCTATTTATGATACAGTTATTTCGACGAAAGGCTACACCGAAGAGGCCGGGGAGTCTCCGGACAACTCGAAACCAGGGGATTAATTCCGCTCTCTCATTATAATTCGGTTAACCTTCCTTCCCCTTCATCGCCAGTTTATTGCCCCTACGGCTGCCTGCGCAGCTAACAACCGCTTCACCCGCATGGGTGAGTCAGCTAGGCAGCTCGTCGAAAGAGGAGATATCAACATGGGATCGACAGGATTGAAATGCCAGCGTTGGCTGAGACACGTGCTTTGAAGTGCATGATTTTAGAAGTTTTTGTTCTGGCGAAGTGAACGTTCTGCTATTTCTTAGTGGCCATATAAATTTCAAGCTGCGGCCCGCTGAAAAGGAATTTGCCTAGCGCCTCTCTTTTCGCTTGCTCGCCTTGGTCAACTTCCAGCACCCATACACCGATTAGGGGCTGGTGCCTAAAACGGGCGCTTAATTGTGGAGCTCAGGATAGGGCCACTCGTTACAGGGATGGGACGTATCTGTCATCGAGAGCCAACCATTTCACCGGGGAGCAACACCGACTGGGAGGCAGGAAGATGTAAACTGCAAATGGTTGGCTGGCATTAGCAGACCACTGAGCGAAAGCCTGTTTGAAAGCGATGAAATGCCTCACCGGTTGAGAGCTGGTCGTCATTGTTGCCTGCGCAGCGACCGTAATGGCGACCACCCTTGGAAATCGGTGGGTAGGTCTGGCAACAAAGCGGAAGAGAAGTTGACGATACATATCCTCGGATACGGTGCCCAGCAATTCCAAACACGAGACAGCCACTGGCCATACTTCGTCGATATTTCCAATCGAGGTCACGAATGGTCGAAGCACAATCCCCAGTCCTTTTATTAACACACCGTCTACCTGTGATTGACGATTTTAAGGTAGTATGTAATAAGTACGGCCGAGCATAAGAGGAACAACCAGGTACTGTATCAAAGTCAAGTCTGGTGCAGATTGACTGTCGTCACCCTCGACCGCAGCAGATGCCCGACTGTCGGGCTCGAGGTAGATTTGCCGAATCTCACTCTCTTTGACGACCCGCCGACAGATAGGGCAGCTAGGCTCGGGCGCGTCATCAGTGTCGCCATCCTTCGGCTGCCGCAATACCGCGGGAACAATTCACAGGCACACTCGCCCTTTATGGTCGCTCTACCAAATACACCTGTTTATCTCGTGAAATAGTACAAAAATTGAGGATTGTAATACCGTAAGACGCTATTGAGTGAGCAAAAGTTGAAGAGTATCTAGGTTCAATGCGCGCTACTCATTCTCTTATTCATCTATATCTCAAATGATACCGAGCCTAGCGAAAGAGTCCACGAGCGTTTCGGGCAGGGAGATTTGTTGATTGTGGTCGTCCAAACAAAGCCCGTAATAATCACATTTCCCCCCTCGGCAAACGTAATGTACTCCTCGGGAAGTCTTTTTATCAGCGCCAGAAACCTGTGTCTTGCTAGATACACCACAGAAACAAGCCGGATTTCTAGGGTCATTGCCGCGAGTGTCGGCGAAACAATGGAATTTTTTGCAGGGTTTGCATTTATAGTATGGTCGGCCAGCATTCCCTTTGCGATTTGAGGTTTTGGTAACGTCCCATGTGGTGGGTTTGCCACACTTGATACAGTCGGGTGCAACAGTGGGAGGAGGACACAGCCAGGCACCAAGAGCTTGGTCCAGAGCCTCCATCCTCGTAGGTACTTTTCTGCCACTGCTCACTCAGCGATGTCTCAAAAGCATCGGAATTCATACCAGAGCTTTACGGCGTCCTGTTCGTCAGTTCGTCGTCACCAGAGTATCGAAGAGACTATAATGACCGCTGATATAAACGTTATTGAGGCGGTGTTGCCCGCAGTCCTGCGGAAGTTGTCTACAACAACATCTGGGGGAATTTTATCAGCCATCATGACCATCAGGATTCGTAATTACGCAACGCATTGCCGACGTGGTAAGTTGTCATTGGCCGGGGCAGCACATGCAGCTTCCTGGAATTGACAGTTAGCTTATAATCCAACGCGCTATCAAGGCAGCAAAGACTCGCCAACCATGTCCGACTAGAACACAAGAGGTCTATTCTTTGTTGCTCTCACTAGCCGTAAAGATGCTTAATGCGACCGGCTAGGTCTACATTGAATTAGTGGGCCCGAGATTCCTGGTGACATGTAAACTGCTTGCATGATGCTGGAAAGAAGCTGCGCCACACCGGTCAGGATTTACAGTAGATATTCTCTGGTTCAACGTGGACGGCCACTATTGGGCGAAGTGAGTCCACTGGTAGAGGGCAGACGTTGGTGAAGCCATCAATAGTTTCTTTCCTGCTCTGTCCTGTCGAGGCATGGGCTTCCTTCTTCCTTCTTATTGTTGTACAATATATTTGTTCTTACCGCTGTCTGCTCTACTTGCACTCTTGTGAAAGAAAGAAAGCCCGCCCCCTTGCGGTACTTCGTTGACCACTGAACCTGGTCAGTCTTAGCTGACATGTCGCGCAAACCCAACTTGGCGGCGATATCGCAGCTAATGCCATCGGGGATGCCGGGTCGCTCTTCGGTGTTCGTGCGGCGCATATACCGCCGGGGAGGGGTCAATAATTGTTCGTCTCAGCCAGCCCACCGTCCCATCCGTATGCAGCCACCTGCTGAGGTATTTCTGCTATTGGATTGCATCGAAGATCAGGCGCCCTCTCGACTCATGCTGATGCAGGTCGAGATCGGAAACAATCGAGATGGCTAGGAGTACATAGTCTAGAAATTCTGTTGTATGTTCGATGATCACTGCACCTTCTTCGTAGAGATGATACATACCAAAAAATTCCAGAGGCAGATGAGTCCGAGGCGCAATCAACGTTACCTTCAATTTTTTTCCTTGGTGAAACTGTACATCGGAAATGTGAGAGCCTATACGTTCGAGATGAAGGGATGCCATAACTGCTTGAAGGTGGCTGGCCACCTCGCGTGGGCCTGCAAGGAGACCCGGAGATGTCGACATTGTGGTGGAGAGCATGATCGGCGACGCTTTGGAGTTGCTTTACACGAACTGGCGGCTTCAATGCAGGGCTGGCATGGCGGGCAACACGCTCGCGGACCCATTAGAGTCTGTTAGCATGGAGAAGTGCTTTGGCCTCGTACTCCTGCATGAGCTGCAACGCTTGTTCCGCAATCCGCAATCTCTCAAGGAGTTCCGGTGCAAACCAGAAGCGTCTTTCCACCTCGTCGATCGCAGGTTTGGTGACGTGGCTAGTGGATCGAAGAGCGTTCCCTTTCAAGGTCCCTGCCGTAAGCATACGGTCGCAGGGCGTAGGGAGCTGTTAGAGCCCGCTGTAGAGGAACGGGTTAAATTTTGATTATATCATCGAGTCTTCTTGTCGAGAAGGCTGGTATCGATTCGAAAAGAAAGTCTCTTAGCACACCTTCTACTGTAGCTTCATCCCACGAATCGACTCATCTCTCTAACAAGCATTCATCAGCATGCCGCAGACAGGGCGCATATTCCCGAACAAAAGGGCAGAAGATCAAGCAAACTGTCCGGCTCATGATGTGCTCCCTCTAGCACAGTCAAACGATTCGGTCTTCCTTGCTGCGGAAAAGTGCGACTGAGTGGTTTGTATCTTTGGACTGTTTTAAGTTGATTGGCCGTCAGAGCATCCCAGAATACCATCTTTCAAGGAGAGGCTTCGGAGAAATCCAAGCAGCAGGATCCTATGCAACTGGCAATGTTCTTCAATCCGTTCCGGCGTGGAGGACTGCCGCAACCTCATATCGAGCCATTCGTATCCAATCATGGAGTTTGCCAACCATCCCTCTGTCACATGTCACCTAGCCTGGGCGCTTAAGGTCTGGCCGCGACCGCATTTCGCTGGCAACTACAAGAACCTGTCCATTCCTTTCTCCCTCATTTCGAGCAACCAATTAAAGAGTACAATGGAGATTGATATCTCCGATATCCTCGCAGACGCTTCGCGCTCGCAACCCTCCGCAATAGCCACAAAACCGTATTCGGTCAGTGACACGGACGCTTTCATAGACCACTAGCTCCTCACGCGCGCATGGACATCGGAGCGCCTGACTTACTCCCTTATCCCACGGAACTGATGGCCCGCGTAATGGCGCGCGTTGTGATCGAAGACACGCGTGCAGCGAAACCTCTACGACCGGTTCAAGACTGCGATGTAGGTGTTCTACCATCCAACTCGCCCGAAAAAGAAACGCCTCAAGAAAGGAATACCAGTGTACGGCGACAAACGCGTATGGGAGTCGTTATCCCCCCGGCCCCGGTAAGGGGGAATAGCGAGCAGCAAAGTATCATTGCGAGTAAGCCGACCTAAAATCACGCTCCACCTTAGGCTCCAGGACCTAAACCAACATGGAAAGAGGTAAGAAGAGAATCAAGAAGGAGCACGAAGAGAAGGGGACGAGGTAAATGTGGCATCCGCGGAAGGTATAGTAATAATAGAGCGTGAAGGTCTATTCCACTTTCCATATCCGAGACGGAATCTAATCATGTCTCTTCCTACCCTATAAAGTTAGGTAACGTAGATAAGGGTGTCATTACATTTAAGCCATCATATATTATACGTACCCCTTCTATCATTATCTTATTTAATTCCTCTATTTACTTTATCTACTTAAAGACTTATACTAATACCTTTTTAATTCGAGATATTCTAGCCTAAAGATTAGGT